GACATTCCTACAGAAAAATGTAGGCTTACATTTTGAGTTTATTCTGAGTTTTATTTAATGAAATTTTTCCTCAAGAAACATACGGTTTTCCCAATATTCATCTCTTTTCCCCAATTATTTTCTTAATCAGTCTTTTTTGAGGTCTTGAATAAAATGTAAAATCAATATTTTAAGTTACATCCATAGTCATCTAGAATAAAATGTTAGATCTTGATCTAAATGACCATTTGAATGTGTTTATAAAACAAATCATTTGGATGCATTTCTTCGACTTTTATCTTCACAGACTGTATTTTAGTGATCTAAAATGTTTGAAAAGCAGAGATATAAAGTTATAAAACGTTCTTTCGCTATTGCAGATATTTTTAAAGGGAAGTTACATGCTCATTTTCTGTGAAATACTAGAATGGTTTAGCCCTTCCTCATTCTCCTGACAGTGCCTGTGAGTCAAAAGTCTTTATCCTGTGCCCACAATCTTTATTCCAAGTAGGGGTGATGTCTGAAAGCAGCTGGCAGTGTTGCACGATATGGTGCTTTGTGGAGCCACGGTGTCTTAGCCTTGGTTGTACAGCAGAAGTGGAATGCACATAACTTCTGATTTTTTGACGAATCTAATGTAATTGTTGCTTTGTGATGTTCTGCCGTTGAATGCGATTATAGAAGCCCACATCATGTAGTGACGTTTGTGCTCTGACATGACATGCCCGAAATGAAATGTACTATATTGTATACAAAGAAGAAAAAATAACATTGTAGTTAACCTAGAGAAGTTGTAAATAAAAAATGAAAGAAGAGTGGAACGAGACAAAGGGTCACACTCTTGTGTGTGTTATATGCCAGAAGTGTAGAATACTATAAAAATGTAACACACTAATGTATTTTGTACAGCATCTGCTTTAGAAGGTGCCTTATTGAGTTTACCATGAATTGCTTGTTCTGTACACAGATTATGTCCAATGTATCATTTTTAAGTAAATAACCTTATTTTAGTACACATTAGTAATGTGTTTTGTTACCGTAAGATTTTGCCTTAAAAATGTACTGACTTGGAAATCATAATACTGTAACTAAATAATTCCCTACTTTTTAACACCTCGTTTATGGTTTGTTTTTTCCCCCCACAGTCTTTGAATAAGTTGTTAATGATGACTTTTATTATTCAACCATGTTCAGAATTATTTGGTGCTTTGTAAGTTCAGGCTCTTTCGTCCTTGCACTAAATTTGGGCGCAACAGTAAAACCAGTGTTTCCTTCTCCTGAATTTTATCCCTGTCTTAGAGCAAGGCCAGAAGCAAGTCAAAATTAAATAATATTTTATTTGAACATGTGCAAGTTCACTGCATGTTGGTTTTACCCATACAAATTTGCCTCAAGCTCATCAAGTGAAAAGAGAAAAAAATAAAGGGATGGGGGATTTTGTGATGGGGTTTTGTTCCCTCTGCGTACAACATTCTTTTTTGTGTGGTAATACACAGATGAAGAGACTTGAGCTAAATATACTTACGTACTGTTGGTTGCAAAATTATGCAGGTGCTTCTGCATAGCCTGCTAAATTTACTCTGTTTATATGATTCAAGCAAATGAAGACCAGTCAAGGGGATGTCTCACCTGTGAGTACACAATTTAATATCAAGTGTCAGAATTTGTTTTCTCATTGCAGAAATGTATCGGCTTCTGCTCTCTGTAGAGTTCGTTTTAGTTTGCAAGGAGGAAAGAAGCAAGATCAATTTCTGCTCTCTCTTTGCCTTTAATCAGGAGTAATCTTAGGTTTAAATATGGTTTTTTACATTAGCTGGAAAGTTTTAATATCTGAACATCATATAAACTGATATCATTATATTATAAAGATAATTATAAACCTTTATTTGTTCCCCCTGTACAATCAAGTGTTAAAAGCTCACAGTAGAGTTGTGGAAAGTACAGTGGAAGACTAGCCAATGTAGTTTCAAACCTTTTTTCCTTAATACCAGGAAATTAGACTGCACTCAAAGTTTTGGTCTCCTTGCAGTCTTGGCAAAGTCACCCTTTTTCCTACGTTTGTGGCTATTGTGTAGATTGTGGAATGTCTACGCTGATTACACTGATCGTGGTTGGATTTAAAACTGGGATTTTTATATTGGCGTTACAGGAGGATGTAATGAAAAGAGTGGGGATAACTATTTGCACCTGTCTTTGTTTTAAGGAGCAGTTTTTCCTCCCCTGTGTTGTTTCATGAGACAACCACAGGGTGATGCTGTGTCCTAAAGACAGGAAGAGCCTTTGGGAAAAATTGGAGAATGAAAATAAGTTCTACTGCCTGCTGATAATAAATATCAAAATGTTATCCTTTATGTATAGTTATTTTTGACCTCTATAAAATTATGTTGCTGCTGAGCTTGCATCAGTGTCTAAGAACTGAAACCTCTGTCTAGTGACACGTCTAAACAGCCCACGTGTGTATTTGTGTGCAAACCAAAAAGCAAACTGAGTAGTTAGTGAATTGAATCACAAGCTTTTAAATAAATTGCAGAAGTATCACTAATTTGATAAAGGATCAGATTTAATTCCGTTGATTTCCTTAATCCCTTCTGCAGCTTTATCTTCAGCTTTTCCCATAACACCACTTTGGTCTTTCTCAGTGGTGTCAATGCAGCAAGTCCACGTCAGCTGTGAATCTGAGCTGTGGGAGGACCACTACTCTGAGCTGACCACCTCCTGAGGCTGGGTCATGAGGGGTGACCTCCATGGGCTTCAGAGATTGGCTTGATGTGGGTGTGTGAATGAATTCACATCAATCTGACTGTAGAATTCAGGCATTGATGGATCTGTAGAAGGCAAAATTGCTTCTATAGGATACCGTTGGTAGTTGGATTTTGAGTAAAGTAAGGGGATCATCTTAGAAGTGGAAAAGAAAAAAACATGAGGAGCCTTTAATTTTAAAATGTGAAGTACTATAAGATACTGACATTCACAAAGCAGCAAAAGTTTCAGTAACAAAATAATTCCATGAAGTCATTAAGATGCATGACTTTCTATCTTATTACAAAGCTTAGTGGTTTGATCTGGAAATCCATAAACTTGAAGTACTGGCAGTGTTTCCTGGCAGGTTTCTCAGAAGAACTAAAAGCAATTGGAAGCTTATTTTTTTTAAATACAGGACTCAAATTGACAGTACACGTATCTGTATCTTGGAGTGAGCACATGTGGCCATCAGGCATGTTACTCTGATTGCTCTGCTCTGAGAGAAACTGAAGCAACTTATCTGCTTTTACAAGCAACTCTTCCCAATGCCTATGGTCAGCTTCAGGTTGTTTTTTATGTTTGGAAATTTCCCTGTTAATCCACTGAGCCGACCAATAGCTCTGTTTTAAATTATCTTCATTAAATTGATTCCTCTAGTCCGTTGCCTAGAAATCCAGGTCATGGTGATGGGGGCTGTGTTAATCTTACAGGAAAAAAAACCAACCACCACCCCCCAAAAAAATGCAAGAAGTGGTTTAGGTGGAAGTTTGTGAAAAATCTGGTGGATTACTTTGAAAAAACCACGACCACAGCTCAGTAGCTCAATGATCTTGTTGCTTGAGAAGGAATTCAGTCCTCTTGGCTTATGCAGCCAGTAGAATGTTTTAACTTTTAATAATTTTTTACTTCAGAGTCTGAACATGAGTCTTCCAGTCAAGTGTGTCTTCTGTGTATATGCAGGTGGCTAACTTAAGCACATATTTGAAGAATACAAATATGAAAACATCTTTATATTAACATTTTGTTCACTCTGGAGTCAGTGATCTCTGAACTCGCCTCCTGTATTCTTCGACAAAAGTAAATTCTGGTAAGTACAAATACATCAAACCTTTAGAAGTCCTGTCTACTACCTATCATGTCCTTTTCCAATTAGCTATGGTATGGTTTTCATTCCAGTTGAAGCTTTCTGTCAAAGCTTTAAAAAAAGCAGGGTTTTCAAATACCTACCTATCTATATTTATAATATCTGTATTTAATTGTGGAACAGTCTGTAATTGCAGGAGCACTGGTAAGAAAAACATCTGGGTCACCCCAGTGTAGTGGCTTCATACTGAAAGAACCCAATCTTACAGTTTGATGCTGCTCTTGAGTTCTGACATTTCACCTCTTCCATTTTTTTCTGCTCTTCCTTCCCTCAGATACTTGAGCAATCTGTGGGACAGAAGAAGACCCTGAGCTTGCAGGCGGTGTGTGCTGCCTGCTGCAGAGCAGTGTGGGACGTGGCTCTGTGCAGATACACAGGGACACTTGGCCTGGTAATCTCACGTGGAAATCAGCATTGGTCAGGAGGAGGTGGGGGAGGGTTTTTCGTTCTTTGCTTTGTTGGATTTTTCAGGATGGAGAGTAGCAATCTTCTCACCAACCGAAACTGTATCGTAGCTTTATTTCAAAGGATTTGTGTTGCCTGCTTGTCAAACTGTTGCCTTAATGCAATGTTTATTGGTACCAGTGGGTTGGTGTTTTTTTAAATTTTGTGGTTTAGCATTGCTTTGAATACAGGTAGGTGGGGAGAAAACCCCTTAACAGCAGGATAGATTTCTGTTAAAGAATGCTGCCTTAAAAGGGCACGAATTACATAATAAGAATTTACCTCTTCCTGAGAAATACAATTTCAAAGTGTGTTTCAGTTTGGCAAATCTAATTGCTTTAATATTTGCTGTGTAAGGTATTAGGGTAGACAAAATAAAATGCCACAATACTTGAACTTCTTAAAGGGAAGGTCTTTGGGATGTTCTGTTTGTCAGAAGAAAAGTTTAGGACATGACCAGACGTGGTCATTTTGAGATTTTTGGAAATTAAAAAAAATAAATCCCAAGATTCAAAATTTCTAGTCATTGCTTTACTCTTATTATAAATGTATATTCAACACTGAGAGCAGATCAATCAGCTTACCTTTTTTTTTTTTTTTTTTTTTTTTTTTTTTTTTTTTTTTTTTTTTTTTTTTTTTTTTTTTTTTTTTTTTTTTTTTTTTTTTTTTTTTTTTTTTTTTTTTTTTTTGTTAGTTTTGGTTACTTGCCTGGTTTTAAAATATTTACTAAATGCAGGACTCTGGGCTGAATTCATGATCGTCTTCAGGATTATCTTTAGAAATAAACTGCATTTTCACCAATATTTTTAAATTATGAAGATGTAATTCTTCTTAACAATGTTAAAATACTGTTAAATTTTTGCAGTTTAGTTGAAATACAACACAGGCCCAGAAACAAGGACTGGGCCGTTTAGAATATTCTTGCTTGCAAATGTGAGCATAGAGTGAATCTCACTGGCTTTGACAGATCTCTACTACTGTTCATGCTGTGCACAGACTGAAACACTGGAATGAGTTGCAGAAGTTTCCAAGATGGTCAAGCCTGCCTGTGGTCCATAGAGAACTAAAAGGTATAATTGCCCTGGCTTCTGGGTTTTAAGGTACCATTCACATAGTACCAGAGTTGCTCTTTGCAGTCCTCTCTAAAATGTTTTCCTTGCCAGTAGTGGGGGTAATTTGTCAAGGGAAAGGAGAAATTACGTGTTATGAGTGAAGAAAGTCCCACAAAATGTTTTAAGTGCAGTTCTCGCAGTGGAAGGGTTTGGGAATGTGGAGTCCAAACCATTAGCTTTTCACTTGAAAGAAAATCCCATTGCTGCTCATAAGCAACTAATCCAAAGCCAAACACTTCCAGAAAAGAAGCATGAAGACAAACCTAGGGTAGTGCTATGTTTAAACACATGCAGTAGGATTGAATACATCACAGATGAAGCAATACTGAATGGATCCATTGCATCTATGGAAAGAGGTCAACAAAACATAAATGTCACTATTCAAGTTTTAGATATTAGGAATCCACCCATAGTTGTCCCAGGTGGACTCCTCTTCACTACAGAGCCCTGCAGCAATTCAAAGCTCACTGTCTCCCCCTTCTCCATTTCTGCCATAGCAAAAGTGGTCATGGTGTTGCCATTTGGTGTTTTCCTCTGACTACTGGAGAGAGTTCTTTTGTACCCACGGCTAAAGGAAAGTTGTCCCAGTGCTGGTCCTGAACTGAACTCCACAGAGATGACAAACAGGTAGATGCCTTTATGTGGTGCTTTAAAGTGGCCGTGCTCAGGGAAATAGCTGTTCCCGTAATTGAAGTATGTTTCATTAAACCTCACAGTTTTTTCGTTATCTTTTCCTTCTGAGAATCCCACGTGGAATGCCACCAAGGAGTCTGAAAAAGAAAGAGGAACAGGATTTTAGCAGAGAGCAGGTATTGTCTCCCCAGGATCATCAGGATGGGAGATAAGGTGAAGCCCTGTCAGGCTTGATTTTTGTGTGCTGCTTTGCAGAACTAAATGCTTGAAATGGGTATGTGTGTGGGATTACGTCAAATGGTTCCCTGGAAATACTGAAACCACTAGTCTTGGAGAAGTATAAGGTTAAGACCACCCAGAGGAAAAAGAAAAGTAGCACTTTTTGCTTTCCTAAAAATAAATTAGTTAAAAATATGTTCTTTGCTTATTCAGTCTTGACTAAAGTTTTGCAGCACAGATGCCTGAAGGGGATGATTTTTGCTCTATGTTTTTTGTCCATAACAAGGGCTACAATCATAAAAGCCAGTGCTGAAGATGTGGTGTTTTACTGTAATTACCAAGTGCTTTTGGCCACATGTTTACAGGGAAAGGCAACTGGCCAGTCCCAGTGAAGTATAAGCTGAAAACTTGTCTCTGAAGTTTAGCTGTCAGAGTGTGTGCTCTCTGGTCAGTCTGCCCTGTTCCACTTGTGCAAATTACAGCAGTTCATTTCATGTATCTATCCACCTTGGGAAGGGTTCGGTGCTCTGAGTACACTCCTTCCAGACTCAAATAACAGGGACAAGAAGCAAGCCCAGAAAGCCTAACGCTCTACACCAGCTTCCAAAAATGCTACTGCATTAGCATGAACATCTGCGGACAGAATTGGTCTTCTAAACCTCTGAAGTTGAATTAGTTCGAGGTCCATTTCCCAGCAGCTCTAATGGGTATAATTCTATTGGCCTCGAGCAAAATGCAGCAGAGTATCAACTCTCTTTTCACTCAGGCTGCTTTTTTTGATGGAGGGAGGGGATGAACTTCTCCCTCCAGCATCCCACAAGACAGGTCTCATAACCAGTATGATGTGTGTGTGGAACTTGCAGCAGGGTCCAGAAAGAAGTTAGACCTGCACATGAGCAAGTGAAAGAAGAGAACATACCTTTTTCCAAACGTTCTGTCTGCACTGTATTTCTTCCACTTATCCCTTGCACATTTTCTCTGTGCTTCTCAGGCCTTTTCTTGTCTCTTTGCTTGTCTTGACCTTTCTGTTGCCTTCTCTCTTTTCTGTTCAGCATTGACTGAATCTTTGTAACATCCAGACTTATCTTTGAGGCAACTAATTCTTCATTATTTCCAAATAGCTTTTTAAAAATCAGCAGATGTTCGTCCAGATGCTGCTTGGCAGTTGCTAAATCTGCCGAGAGAATTCCCAGGGAGCTGTTGAGCGGCTCGATCACATTTGCTATTGTGTGATTGCAGCAGAGATTCGCGTCACTTCTGGATTCGTGACTCTTGATTGCCAGACTGAGGTGTTTGATGTCGTTCTTCAGAGTCATGATGTCGTTGTAAGCTGAGCTATCCAGGGAGTCGTCTTTGGCAGCCTCGTAGTTGGGTTCCATGTGCTCTCTGATGCTGCGCTGACTGCTGACTTCGTCCAGAGTAGAAGGCGTTTGTGTTTCTTCTCTGGGGTGGTTAGGAGGTGTATGGGCATTATGGCTATTCTGTTGGCCTCTCTCTGAGAGATGAGATCTCCTTATGAGAGACTCTAAAGTCACATTTTGTTCTTGGAGTTTATCTGAGATATGTCTGAGGGATTCTTGCAGCTCAAATACTGATGGAATTAGGGTGCTAAAATCGTCTTCAAACAAGACATCCACAAATTCTTCTTTCAGTAAAGCCTCCAGTGCTACTTCATGCCTCATTGCATCTTCCAAAAGAGAGCCAAAAGAACTGTTGAGATACTTGATGTGTCTATGAATTTCTTCATCTCTCTTCTTCATCAAGCCTATGTCCTCTGAAAAAGCTGTGACTTGTGACTGAAGCTGTCTGTTTTCTTCTTGACGGAGATTAAGAGACAGATGGATAGATGGAATAGCTGAGGAGAGCTCTTCAATTTCGTTCCTCAAGAGATCTCTGAGAACTGACTCTAAGTGCTTCATGTCCTTTAAATTTGACTGGGTGCCTTCAAGGGAATAAGTGATATTCTTTGAATCTTCCTCCAGTACATCAGTGTCAGAAGATATTCTCTGGCAATTACATTCCTCCATGTACCTCAACAGATCTGAATAGTTTTCCTGAAGGTTTGACAGAGTGTAGTTGAACTCTGATATTTGCCTTTCCATTGCTGCGTTGTTTTCTTCCATGATAACTGATTTCTCAGTTAAAGTTATTGTAAGATCCTCTGGCCTATACTTTGAGATATTTTTTTTTAACTCCTTAAACCACCTCTCTAAAACTGCAATATTCTCAAAGGCCACATCTGACTCCATGTAAAGTTCTTTAAGCTGCTTTGCATGGCCTGACAGAATGTCATTTATTTGTCTGATGGTTGTCTGGCTGTTTTCATCTTTGGGACCATGATGTAAAGAGAGTTCTGTTAAATTTCTTTCCAAAGCCTCCAGTTTATTTTCAAGATTGTTTTGCTCTTGTTTCACATTTGCTATGCTGTTGTTCAAAGCTAAGAAATGGGACTGCTGTATCTTATGAAACTTCTTCAGCTTTGTGTCGGTATCTGCCTTGATCATGCTGAGATTATAGTGAATATTGGCCTGCTGCATGTGCAGTTGGCTTTCTATATCTCTTTTCACCTGGTCAGCTCTCACTATGTTTTCTTGGACTTTTGATTCAAACTTAGTTCCCAGCTCCTGGAATTCCTTCTTGGGCACAGAGCTCTCTCGGAATCTTTCTATGCTTCTCTTGTTGGCCTCCACGTCATGGGACAGGTTTCTGACTATGTTGGAGAGGTTCTGTAAGCTTCTGTTGAAGGTTGCCCACATTGGGTTGAAATGTTTTCTTAGAAAATTCTCCACATGGGGAAACAAAACTTGCTGCAGAAGCCTTTCCTGTGGATCTGTTAACACAGTTGAAAAAAATAATTTAGTTAGATTTAAATTCTGGTTTTGGAACACAACTTTATCTAACCAGGGTAACTCAAGTATGCACTTTTCTATAGTAGTTGCTATCTTACTTCCCAAAATTTGACCTCAGGATTTTGACAATTGCCATTTTGACAATTGCAAAAATAGCCTAGTTTTAAATCAAGGTTGCTATAAAGCACATGGTGTCTACGAGTCTGCAGGCAGTAACTTAGACATGTATTGATTTCCCCATTTAAGTCTTAAAAAGGATGCTTTTTGAAACCCCTAGACAGGCAGTTTTGCAAGGGGCCATAGCTGTCCTTCTTCCCAACAGTTCTTAGTTGGTGAGCTCTTCCTTTTTTGACTGTGTCTTTTTCTGATGCTTCACAAAGTTATACAGCATCTTAACAGCTGAATATTCCAGGCCACGAGTGAATAACTTAAAAAATCTGTGAAGTATCTCTACTAGGTGTGACTTAGGCTTGATTTTTAACTTTTAGAATTCAAACTTGAGTGCCTTGAAGTTCACTGAGTACAATAGTCTGTATCATTAGAAAGTGTTTCTGCAAGCCAGTGGCACACAGGAGTAGATCAAATTCAGTAGCTTTTTTTTTTCCCCATTCCTATATATGGCAGGAATAATGTTCCTCAGAAGGGTAAAATGTTTCGTTTTTTCGTATACACCACTCTGATATTCCATACAAGAGTATAAAGCGTGAGTATAGAAAAAGAACAAAAGCCAGATCTAAACTCTGCATCCCCATAGAAGAAGCCACAGAAGCAGAATAGTAAGATGAACAAATTTTAAATGTAAGCAACCTCTTTAGTCTTTGGTTAAGGCGTATTCTGAAATTTGCCTTTCATCACATTTCCCATTTCAAGTTGCTCTTTGGTTCCTTCATCTGCTCTGGGATTGCACCCATTTTTGCTTTCTCTAGAAGCAACCAGCAGACCAAGGAACGTCAGGGTATCTTTGCTTTCATGTTTTCCTCCTGGTCTGCCTGGTTGCACAGTGCCTACCTCAGGCTGGTGATTCTGCATCAGACCTCTCACCTGAATTGCTCTCGTTCACTTCTAACACCATGCTCGTACCGTTGTTCTCAAATAGCCTCTGTAAGTCCCCTAAGTTGCTGACTGCTTGATGAATATCACTTTGAAGATCATCCAGTAAAGCCTCATGATTTTGAATGACTTCGAACATTTCTCTGGGATCCACTGATGTTGACACTAGTCACAAGATTGAAAAAACAAAGTCATGCAACGGAGTGCAGCGACCAGGCGACAGGTATTCATACCACACCTCTGAGAACACCTGCCTACTTTTTGCTCTGAAAATTTTACATGGACATTTAGGGGGTCTGTTGGCACCTTAAGTTGCAGTTTCTTTGCAAAGAATTTTTTTGACAGTGATGAAAACATATTTAAATATTTGCAGAGAACTTCAGCCACAATAGCCACGATGGTAATAAAATACTCTTTGATTAGAAACCTCCCCATACCATAAAAATGTTTTGGAATACTATCTCCTTTCAAGCCATTGACTGAAAAGATAGCAAGGTTTAACAATCCAGAATGAAAGGAGAGGATGAAAGAGCAATTGAGGCATTCCACAGAGGAATCAGAAGCAGAGTGTGTAAGTGTCAGAGCTGACTCATGGAGGGGCCCTTTACTAATGTTATTCTAAATAAGTACCTGTGAATTTCAGCTGTAGAGTTCAAAGTGTACACTGAGAGCTGCTGAAACTGGTATATTCAAACTGTGCTATCCCAAGGGCTTCTTACCCTCCAGGGTTACCTTTGACCTTTAAATCTCTTGTTTTATATAATTCAGTTGTGCAAACTAACTGCTTATTCATTCAGTGCTGAGAGCATAAAACACTTTCAGAAAACACAGTAAAGAAAACACTCCTTCAGAGCTGCAATACTGCCCTGAAGCTAATTGCTAAAAGATACTTAATAACACTGCAAGCCACACCATTTCACAGGTGGTAAGGGACAGTCGTTCTAGTACTCAGATTGGTAGGTTGGAGTGCCTGAGATACAAATGTGTGGTACCTCACAACAGTAATTTCAAAGCTACTGTGAGGCTGTTCTAAAACAGCATTTTGAGTGGGTTTTTTTCTGGTAGACTTGTGAACCTGGTGTGCTTTCCCGTGAATCCACTTGGCAAAGCAAGGGGTTAACATCCCTGGCACTGAGAGGTGGAAGGCCCTGGACCAGCTGGCATTCTCCATTGGTATTACTGATCACCAGCCAGCAGACAGCTTGGAAACTTTTGTCTTGAGCATTCATGTAGTGTTATAGCCAAAGCCCTCATTTAAACCAATAAATGTATTGTTTCAATTCTTTCACAAAGGATGCTTTCACTAGAGAGATTTTCTGGAGTTTATCAGGTTAAAATAATTAAAATAACTTTTTCTTTCTGATCAGTGACTGAGAGGTAAAAGGGTGACAAGCAAAATAACTTCAAGCACATACTGTGGTTTGAGAACTCTTCTTCTCGTCCTTCGGTTTCAGTTCCTGGCACCAGAATAAAATTAGGATCTGCAATTGAGATGTAATACAGCTGTGAAAATGTTTGAGATGCAGAAACTACTACAGTTCAGCAAGGCAACACAGAGGAGACTAAACTAGAAGCACTGCACTTGGTAATATCTTTCCAACATTATAAATGAAGTTCAGGCTGGGGCATCACGTAGAGGTAAATCTGCAAGTCAAAGCTATCTGTGAAGAAAAGCAAAACCTACAAGAGTTCTATCTGTGGAGTCTGTAGTTGAGTTAAACGTGAAAATTTTCACACGTGCTCGCCTTTTTTGTTATGGTTGCCTTAATTGCTGGAGGGAATTATCTTTTATCCATTTAAATTCCCTTAATTCCATTTAAGTTCTTAAAACCGTTTAAATTGCACTTTTCAAGTAGTATTTGCTAAATCCTGCCAGTGTTATTTTTAAACCACCATTCAGTTTTTAAACCACGCTGTCTCCCCTCTCTTTTATTAGCAGCTGCACAGAGTATAGAGTCATTGAAGGGTTTGGATTGGAAGGGACCTTAAAGACCATCCAGTTCCAACCCTCTCACCCATAGCAGGGAACCTTCCACTAAGCCAGGTTGCTGAGAGCCCCATCCAGGCTGGCCTTGAGCAGTTGCAGGGATGGGGCATCCACAACTTCTCTGGGCAACCAGTGCCTTATCACATTCATATAAAGAATTTCTTCCTAATGTCTAACCTAAACCTGCTGTCTTTCAGTATGAAGCCCCTTGTCCCGTCACTTCATGCCCTTGAAAGAAGTCCCTCTCCATCTCTCTTGCAGTCCCTTTAAATACTGGAAGGTGTTATCTCCCGAGCCACATAATTTCATCCTATAAACTGACCATAGGGGCATTTCACATACTAGTGTTGCTTTCTGATGTCACCAGTTTCTACCCAGAATTAGGCATTCCTAGATGGACTTGTCTAGATGGGCATCTGGCAGGCTGCCCTAGCAAATACCTTTCTCAGTGTGTAAAGATTACGAAGGTTGCTATTAATTGCAGCTAATTACAGCTACTTCTTGTCTCAAAGTATCAGTGAATTGGGGCGTATCAGACCCAATAAAACAAGGCATCAATTCTGAAAAAAAAGCAATAGCAAATAGGCAAACTTATTTTTTGCCACTGTGCCTGGCATTTAGTCATTCATTCTCACACTTGTTCGCTAGCTTTCCTTACCATGCTGTTCACAGTCCTTGCCAATAAATCCAGGGCAGCATTTCCACTGCAAGGACTTCAAAACCTTCTGTTTCACTTGGTAGACTGGCTTCAGAGCTGTCCTGTACCTGTGGAGTGAGGGGCTGGGTGTTAGACTGGAAGTTGTTGTCAGCGGGTCGCACTTGGGTGACAAGCGTGTCAGAGATGACTAATGCAGAATGCAGTTAAGAAACTTGTCATAATCTGTAACACTGCTACTTAGCATGACATATAGGCAATCCACAGCAATTTTTCTTTCTTATATAAGATTGTTTTTCAGGATTACTGTTTACAGCGGGAGGTGTGTGCACATTGTCAGGTGCAGTCAGAGGCTCCAGTGCTCGGCCTCATTGTTACCAAGGAAGATACAAATTTGCTAAAAACTCCCCTGGGTATAATGATGAAACTTTTTTTTGTTGTTCAGAGAAAGAGAAATTAATTGTATTAGCAAATAACAAAATCATTTTTGCAACCAAATAACTACACAGGTGTGAGGACGTGTAGATGATAATTGAATATTATTTAACACTTCGAAAGAATGTGTGAGTCCAGCTTAAAAAAGTGTGTGTCTCCCAGCTTAAAATATGTACCTTAAGACACACTGCTGGCTTTCACTAGTACTGTTTGGGCAGCCAGTCCTTGTGAAAGAACAGTGAGCATCTGGGGATTTGCAGTCCTCTGACTCCTGCCCTGTAAATGGTCTCGCTGATGGCCACAGGCAGAGAGATTTAAGTTATGTGTGTATATTACGACCTGAGAATCATGGAAAAGGTATGCTCTCTGTATGTTTTCTGAACATGTGAGAATATAGGAAAAATTACTTTAATCATCGTGTAGTCCTGTACTTGGTGGCTTGAAAAGGCAATTGTTCTCCCAGGTTACTTAAATGCCTGATCACCTTTAGGTACATAAATGAGGCCCTACATCACTTTGGTATTAGACTGTGTTGATGCTTTAGTTATTTTTAAAGTGTGTCATTCAATATTATTGAAAACATCATTTAGGTACATCAGAGAAAATTCTGCTTTCCTCAGTGCTTTTATTTAGGATACTTACATGATCTTCTGGCAGTCAGGGGTTCCATTTGGACAGGGCTGTTGGGAGTTGACAATGTACTTCTCCTTCATGCAGGCTTCGATGTATGTCACCAGCCGGGACTGCGTGAAGGAACACCAGTTCCTAGGGGGAGAAAGACATGGGAAAAGAGTTTGAAGCAGATCTTGTTAAGTCTCTGGTTGTAACAGTGCCAAGGAAGAATGAAATGCAGAAGGGCCTTCTACTTTTTATGTTTTTTTTTTTCCCAGCTGTATGATGAGCAAAGTGGAAAATGCTTCCTACCTTCTCCCTCCACTCCCAGTTCATGTGTTTTCATTTCAGATGTTCACATGAGTTTGTTACAAAGGGGCTGATTGTCTGAACTTTGATGCATTAGTTCCATTTCCAGTCTTTTTGTATAGGAGGAAAAATTTCCAGCCCATGATAACCTGCAGGTTAATGTCACTTTAAATGTCAAATTGCCTTTCTAGGCATGTTGCCATTTCAGATGCCTAATGACTGACTCATCAGGTTGAGGCAGACTGCTTCTGAAAATTTAATCCGGCATAAACTCCATTAATAATGTCTTCCCAAGTATTACTTCTTCAGGATAATATAGTAAGTGATTGGATTTTATTAATTAAGCTAGCTTTGAAATAATTTCTCCTGTCACCTGCAGGAAAATGATATTGGAAAAAAGAGACTTGTTTTCTTGGGGTTTAGTTTTATGCTTCCAGCAAGGACAAGTGAGTTTTAGTAGTCTTATTAATTATATCAAAATTATATGGGCATCTGTTAATCCCAGAGTGTAGGTGAGCCTCTTCCTTTTCGAGAGTTTGAAGTCCCAACTTGGAAGGACATTGTTGGCTGAAGTTTGATGGTTAAAATCCAAGGCCAGAAGAGACAGGAAGTGAGGAGCAATAACCATAATGGAAACAGCTGAACTTAAGGCATTATATTTTTAAGTGGGAATACAGGAACCAAATCTCTGACAATCAGCATATATGGAAAAAGTCTGCCCCTCTGAGAGAGCTGCTGAAACAATGGGGAACCGAGTCCTGCACGAAAGCAGAAGCTGCAACCACAGCGACCAGGAGAAGGAGAGGAAGCTGCAAGGAAGCTGGAGACATTAGGATAGAAGGGCAGACAGCCCGGGCTAGCTGGGAACAGTTCATTGGGCTTGCTGGGATGTAGCCTGTTTGGTTCCCCTGTTTCTTAAGGAAAATGTGATGGGGTTTCAGCAACCACTCATGCAAGCAAAACTCTTCATCTCTTAGAAGCAAGGGCAGGAATCTGGCAAAGCCTACAGCTCTGGGAAAGGAAAGGAAGCTGCTGTCCTTGTTGTAACTTGAAGCCGAAACAACTTGTTTGATGAACTGTAGCTTTGAGGCCTTTGCGAGTGACTGGGGGAGTTTTTGCGTCCTATGACCAATGGGGGTCTTGGTTCTTACGGGACTGAACCAGAAGACAAATCTTCAGTTTTTTATTAAAATACTCCTCTTTCAGAGTCAAACACTATGCTCATGACACTGGGCTGCTCAGTAAAAGCCAGCAGACCAGCACACATGCCCTGGCGACATCTGTCTCCAAGGTGTGCCTGAGTCTGCCAGGCTTTATAAGGCTGCAGTGCTTTTCAGCAATTAGTGTTCAGTTAAATAACTCTGAAACAGAGACCTGGTTTGTGCCTGGGCTTGGGCTGTCCTTTCTCATGTGCTTGGCAAGGCATAGCTGGGAGAGGCTTTTCCCCCTCAGATCCCCTTTGCTTTTTTCCTGGGGAAATAAAGTGCCCAGGCGCTGGAGCTCACTGGTATCGTTGCTAGGTGCGGGATTCCTGGCTCTGCCAGCAGGATGCCTGCCAGATCCAGGCAGGAGTCTGCATTCAGTATGGAAACCTCCTTTTAAAACAGGATTCTTTAGCTTTGGGGTTTTGTTCTTTCCTTAATGAAAACAATCCACACCCTATGAATCATCATCTGGGCTGATTTTATTTTTTTTCCCACAACATGCAGCTCCCAAACAAGTCCTTAGAGTCTTGCAAGCCATATAGAGCTGAGCCAACTGTTCCCGTGCATCAACTTGTGCGAGCAAGAATTAGGCACTGTGTGACCGTGAGTGCGCTGGCTGGCACACGGATTTGTTTTCAAAACCTGTGTTGGAGGCACCTGGTGGGCTTCCTGCTTGTAGAAAGGGGTTATCTTCTGTCAGAAATTGAGTCAGGAGTTGATTCCAGCTTGATGCCTGCTTTGGACAGTTACTAGAATTATACAGAGTGAATAGCACGAGAAAGGGGGGTAGGGGGGAGATTAGATTTGCAATGAATACTTCCTTTAATGCTGCTCACGCTTCTTTATGTCCAGTTTTCTTTACTGTCTGTTCTCTAGTTCTCTCTCATTTGATCTTAAAAGCTTAAGATCAAATCTGTGGAGCTGAAGGGCTGCATAATATGATGTTTTGGGTTTAATCACAAAAACCTTTAGTGGTTCTGAGTTCCATAAAGCTTGTCATCATTTATTCTTTCCTCAAATAAGTAGATAAGGGCTGTAATGAGCTGCGATATAGATACACGTGCCCAAAGATGAATACTTCTATTGCAGTATTTTTTGCACATCTTGTCAAATGCTTCCTTTAAGGAAACTTTGCTATCTGTAACTAAAAATACTCCTTAACTGTATTAACCCTCAGGGAAAATACGTCATTCTTTAATGTTAAGTGCAACAATGTAAAAGACTGAGGAGGGCTTGATCTAAAGTTCAGGGAGGCTAGCAGGACTTCTGCTGGCACCAAAGGCTCTGAATCAGGCTATGAAGCTTCAAAGAGCTGCTCCCTCACAAATAGCACTTTCTTTCTTCAGCTGGTTTCTGGAACACAGCAGCTTTGTATTCTGCTGCTGCTTTTTTTTTTTTTTCTCTTTGTAACTATGTCGCCTCATTTACTGCGTATATAACCGACTTAACACCCTCTGCTTTTATTCTCTTTATTACAGTTTCCTTTTGATGCAAGCTTCTGCTGCCAAGGAGAGGGAGGAACAGAAAGAAGCTGCTCATGTGAGGAGAGCAGAAGAGCTTTCTCTCTAGTCTGGTGAATGGTAAAATTTATCACAACGCTGCTGCAAGTTAGAGCAACGCTTGAGGGAGCTCTAGCAAATTCAGGGCTGCAGATGTTTCATTTGTTTAGTAGCTTTTCCTGTTTGACATTCCATGCAAATTAAACACCCTCCCCCCCCTCCCCTTTTTTTTTTTTTTTTGAACCAGGAAAAAAAGTATTTTAATCATTTTCTTTGCCAGACTAGGTGGGTTTTTTCCTAGACTTCATTCTAATTATGAGTTAATCTTACTGAACAGAGCCTTCACATGCATCTATCCCCTTCTGCCTTATTTTGAGGCAAGTGTATTCTTATGTCTGAGGTTAAATATATCTGATGACAAAGCGTTCTGTTTTTAAATAAGGTGCAGCAAATGTAGGTTAGCTCAAGCTCTTTTTATTTGAAGCTTTCAGGAGTTTAAAAACTGATATTAAAATGATTTTTTTCCTTATGCTGGACAATACTTCTGTTTTTACTGAAACATAGCAGAATGCAGGCAGTTCTTTCTCTGATTCTAGGGTTAGGCTGGGCCACCTTATATCATAGGAAACAAAACCCCCAGAACCGGGAGGTAAAGTCAGATGACTGCTCTGCAGTAATTGGTGCTCTGCTCAGATAAACACAGGGCAGGTTTTTCCTACAAATGTGGACAATTGCAGCACGTTAGTGAGTGTGAGTAATGCTCCCCAGCTCAGCTAGGCACTTGCATGCTTTAGTTTTCTTAGCTACATGTTCCCTTCATTGACACGCCAAGGCATAATTTTAGATCTTTCCTAGGTCAGTGGAATTTTTGCCTGAACAAAAACTTCAGGACTTCAGGATGTTGGGTTTTTTTCATGAGTTTTGTTATTCCTTTGCCTGTACTAATACAGCTGCCTTGTCCTTCACACATCAGTTTCCTTGAGCTTCTATTCTCAAGGAAGCGAGTTTCTGTAATTACTTTGACAGCTCCTGTCCAGCCATTCCTGTGTCTGTCACTGACAGTGTGCAGAACTTTTCAGGACCACGACACTTCCCTGTACAGCACAAAAGGAACCAGATAATCAGTTACTGCTTCTTAAATGTGCTACGAGAAGACAGTAGAGGACTATGTTATTTCAATTTAAACATGATTTTTCACTGGCTTGTACAGAATAACTCCTGATTATACCAGTTGAAGTAGAATAAAAGAGTGAGGCTTTAGCTGTGAAATAATCTGTTGGGGTTTTCCCTCCATGCAACGTTCTCACAAGAAAAAGCAGCCTCAGTAAAACAGAGGTAAAGTACTGCTTTTAAATTAGTCTAACCTAGGACTGTGCATGTCATTATTAAGGCAGACATATCTTTTTATTTCTTATGGAATGCAGGAGGTGTTCAGCTGTTGGAAAAGGTGCTGGCTCTCCAAAGCAGCATGCTGTGCCACTGGGTTTTTAATTAGCAGACAGCAAGTAAGGGCTGAGGGTCTGTCAGTGAATTTTCCAGCTCTTCCAAGCAGCCCTGTGTTAGAATGAGACAGGAGAAATTCTCATGTTTCTCCATGCTTCCCTTAGGCTGAGCAGAGCTCCCTCTTGGGGAGGGTTTGGGATCTTTCTGTGACTCAACCACTCTTGATTTCACTGGGGTTAGAACAGACTGGTTGGTTTGCTGTTCCCCTTAAAAAATCAGATTGAAAAGAGTGGCAGTGGTAGTTTCAAACATGTGGATTTCCACACAGTGCTGGAAATCTTCCAGAACCCTGAGTTTCACTGGATAAATGCAACTTTTATTCCAACAGTAGTGCCAGGTAATCTGTTGGGATAGTCTTGTCCTGCAGAATATCCTAAGAACTCAGTGCAGTGAAAGCTTTCAGAGCAAATCCACTCCTGAACCTGAAGCCTCACTGGGAGCAAGAGTTCAAGAGACAGCAGGCTTGACTAGGAGCTGGTTTTAGCCAAATCCAACTGTTGTACAAATAGTTCAGGCAAATAAATGCAAGAGGTTTTTCCTCTTCAAAAGCATCCACAGCCATTACCTCACTTATCCTCCCTGCAAGAGAAGCTCTGCAGCGCATTCAGAGGGCAACTTACACTAGGATGTCATCCTT